AGATCCGGGCCCATCTCTTCCTCCAACCAGGTGGTCTCCTCACCCCCTCCCGTATTTCCTGTCTCCTGGAGGACTGACTGCAGGGATTGCCTGGGAGTCGCCGAGGCCCTTCCGTCTGTACTTCCCCCTCCGGGCGCTCAGGTGGTCAGTCATGGGGATCTGAGCCGGCTTCCTCTCCCTCTCCCTGTTGCTTAATGTTTGTCCAGGCTTCCTCTCTCTCTGTCCTGGCTTAAGGCAGCATTTCTCACCCGGTCTCTGCCTCAGAGCTCTCGCCTTTCTGATGGCTCACTCACCCGGAAGCTGGCGTGACCTTTCTGGATGTGTCTTATTTATTTATGCCCTCGTGTTTCAGGAAGGATGTAGGTACATGCAGGCGTCTGATCGTGTTACTCCTTTGCTTAGTACAATAGCTGTCATTGCTTCGGGTCCAGCATGCCTGGCATGGAGTCCAGAGCGTCTCAGGATCCGATGCCCAGCCCTCCCTCCAGGCCCAGCCCTGGCCACAGAAACCCTGAGACGCTCCAGCACCCCAGCCCCTGGCACTTCCCCGGATGTGGAGGTCGCTACGCACCTTGCCCAGCTCCCAGCTCCCAGCTCCCAGCTCCACGAAGCAGGTGCCCTTGGCGACCAGTGAGAGGCTCCTGCCCCAGAAGCTTCTGTAGAATTTATGAGCACATTCGGACACTTCAGGACTCTTCTCCACCTCCTGAGCTCCATTTTCAAATCTCAGCTGCAGTTTTCCACCCCAGCTGTCTGCTCCTGCATGCACAACCCTGCCCTTCCCACTGTGAGTCGCCCTCGTGACAGCAGTGGCCGAAGCAACCTCCCTTCTCCACTTGGTGGGATGCTTCCCTGGTTCTCCGCTTCCCATGCTCCTTCATTCGGGGCTAAGGCACGCTTCCTCGCGGGTCCTACCGGGTTCCTTAACCCCCCGAGGAATCATTCCTGTGGCCCAGGTCGTCCGTGACCTCGCAGGGAAGCCCCCCCACTAGCAAACCCTGCTCTGACTTACTCGCAGCCTCCGGTGGCCAGGTTTCGGCACTGTGCCAAGGTTGAGCTGAATCCTCCAACCCCAGCTGAGGTCCCCAAAGCTATTCAGAGCTTGACAGCAATAGCCACTAGTGCTCACACTGGTAGCCTCCAACAGCTCACAGCTAAGGAAGCTCTGCCGAACCGGTTTGGTGACCACGTTTTTACATCAGGGAGATCACAGGCAAGCGTGGCACCACTGGCTGTGATGTTTGAGGGCCAGTCTTTCACATCTGTCTCTTTCTGGTTTATTGTTTGCATGTTCTTGGACTGTGAGCAATCAGAATGATATTTGGGGGGGGGGTTAGATTTTATTTATTTTTAGAGAGAGGGAAAGGGAGGGAGAAAGACAGGGAGAGAAACATCAATGTGTGGTTGCCTCTCACATGGCCCCCACTGAGGACCTGGCCCACAACCCAGGCATGTGCCCTAATTGGGAATGGAACCAGCAACCCTTTGGTTTGCAGCCTGTGCTCAATCCACTGAGCTACACCAGCCAGGGCCAGAATGGTATTTGAATTAAAAAAAAAAAAAGAAAAGGACTTCCGGCCAAGATGGAGACATAAGTAGACACACTGTGCCTCCCTGCACAACCAAGATAGGGACAACAACAATTTAGAAACAGAATAACAACCAGAACTGACAGAAAATTGAACTGTATGGAAGTCGGACAACCAAGAAGTTAAAATAGACCCGTTCATCCAGACCAGTAGGAGGGGCAGAGTTGGGCAGCTGGACACAGGTCACGGCACAGAGAGGGTTGGGACTGAGCGCGTAAGGCATCCAGAGTGCACAAGACCACAACGGGTGGACCCTGAGCGCACAAGCGGCAGCTGGCAGACCCTGGCCGAGGGGTGGTAAACGGCAGACCCAACGAGGCAGAAATTGTGAAGCAAGGCATTGTGTGCAACCCAGAATCCCAGCGCTGGGAAATAGAGCCTCAGGACACTGATTGGAAACACCTGTGGGGCTGAGGCACAGGGAGAGACTCCCAGCCTCACAAGAGATGTCCTTGGAAAGTCCGACGGCGTGCACAAGCCCACTCACACAGGAATTGGCACCAGAGCGGCCCAGTTTGCTCGGGGGAAGCAGCAGAAGGGACTGAGGTCTGACGGAGAGCGGAGCAAGTGCCATTGTGCCCTCTCGGACCCCGCCCCCACATACAACGTCACAACCCAGCGACTGGGGTGCCCCATTCTGGTGAACACCTAGGGCTCTGCCCCTCATACGTAATAGGCGGGGGCGGGGGGGAAGATGGCTCAAACAGAATTTGAAAGCCCCAGAACCAGTACTTTTAAGTGACCGAGAGAAAACCAACCTATCAGATGCACAGTTCAAAGTACTGGTGATCAAGATGCTCACAGAATTGGTTGATTTTGGTCGCAAATTAGATGAACAAATGCAGGCTATGATAAGGGAAATGAAGGAAAATGCACAGGGAACCAATAGTGTTGGGAAGGAAACTGGGACTCAAAACAAGAGTGGACCAGAAGGAAGAAAAAACAAACAACAGAAAAGAATGGAGAAATAAGAATTCAAAAAAATGAGGAGAAGCTTAGGAACCTCCAGGGCATCTTTAAATGTTCCAACATCTGAATTATAGGGGTACCAGAAGGGGAAGAGGAAGAGCAACAAGTGGAAAACTTATTTGAACAAATAATAAAGGAGAAATTCCCCCAATCTGGCAAAGGAAATAGACTTCCAGGAAGTCCAAGAAGCTCAGAGTCCCAAAGAAGCTGGACCCAAGGAAGCACACACCAAGACACATCATAATTACATTAGCCAAGGTAAAAATGAAGGAGAGAATCCTTGAAGCAGCAAGAGATAAGGGGACAGTAACCTACAAAGGAGTTCCCATCAGACTGTCAGCTGATTTCTCAAAAAAGACCTTACAGGCAAGAAGGGGCTGGAAAGAAGTATTCCAAGTCATGAAAGACAAGGACCTACATCCCAGATTGCTCTATCCAGCAAAGCTTTCATTCAGAATGGAAGGGCAGATAAAGTGCTTCTCAGATAAGGTCAAGTTAAAGGAGTTCATCATCTCCAAGCCCTTATTTTATGAAATGTTAAAGGGACTTATCTAAGAAAAAGAAGATAAAAAAATGTATAGTAAGGTGACAGCAAACTCACAATTATTAACAATCACACCTAAAACAAAAAAACAAAAGAAACTAAGCAAACAACTAGAACAAGAACAGACGCACAGAAATGGAGATCACATGGAAGGTTAGCAACAGGGGAGTGGGAGGAGGAGAGAGGGGGAAAAGGTACGGAGAATAAGTAGCGTAGATGGTAAGTAGAAAATAGACAGGGGGAGGGTAAGAATAGTGTGGGAAATGTAGAAGCTAAAGAACTTATGACACATGGACATGAACTAAAGGGGGGGAAGTGGGTGGGAGAGCATGTGCAGGGTGGAGGGGAATGAAGGGGGGAAATGGGACAACTGTAAATAGCATAATCAATAAAACATAGTTTAAAAAGGGTTTAAAAAGGGAATATTTTCTTAACTATGACAAAAGGAGAATGCTGATGCACTTTATTTGTTGAACTGAATTAGCCAATATCACTACACTGAAATGTTTTATGTATATATCATGCTAATATTTGGTCGTCTTACTGGGTTAAACGAGTAGTTTAGTTGACATTCCAAACTAATTTTCTGAATTCCTTGCTATTTAAACTGACAACAAGAATAGGTGATTCGTTCAATAAAAAAAAAATCGAGAGTTAAAAAAAGTACAAAAACATACATGATCAGGAGCCATTTAAAGCAGGGTTTGATGACTCCAGGTGGGAGCCGGCCCGGGAGTCTCTGTAAGTACGCGGAGGGAAGCAGCTGAGAGACAGGCTGTGGGCCAAGGCCAGGCCGGAAGAGGGTCCAGGGTTCCGGAGCTGCCACTCGTGGGAGTCTTTGTTCACTCATCACACAGCAGATGTGGTCTAGTGCCGCTGTTTGTCCACACACTCCCCGGGGTTCTGGGGACACGTGGGCGATACACTGCCAGCCGGCATGGAGCTCTGCGTCTGCTGAAAGAGAAGGACACAGGGACACTTGCAGAATAACCACGGAGCACCATGCTAAGCACGGACCGTGGCCATTCGAGGTCTGTGCTGGCGTCGCGGCCCCACAGACGGCTGAGATTTCCTCTCTTCTCTACTTACGTGTTCTCTCCTGGAGTTCTCCGAACCCTGCTGCAAACACTGTCTCATCTTACCTGTAGGTACTTCAGTACACATCGCGCACAGACAACGGCTCTAAGAACAAACAAACACTAATTCCTTAGTGTCGTGTCCTATCAGTGCAGTCCATATTCAGAGTTCCCTGTTTTTCTCAAAATATCTCTTTACCGTTGGTTTGCGTCAGCCCGGACAAGCGCCACACACAGCACTTGGTTATTTCTACTTTAGTAAATGCTTAATATAGCATTGCCTGTAGTAGCCAAAAAAAATCTACAACGCGAATGCTCACAGACTGGGCAAGGATTTGGCCTGCAGACAGGACCACCGGGGAGCGGGTTGGGAGGGAGATTGCTTATGTTTTTCTGTGAACACTTCTGTAGTGTCTGACTTGGTACAAAGTACAGTGTACATTCAAAGACAAAATCTTAATAAAAAAAAACAGGATAATTAAATGATTTTTATTGCTTCGCTCTCCCCGCTGTCTCCACCAGGCAACTTTAAGTGGCTCTGGGAGTCTGGTCCGGAGAACCCAGACAGATCATTCCCTGGAGTGGCGTGGCCGCAGACCCAGGGCAGGTGGCTCGGGCGATGCGTCAGCGGTGTACTGGTTAACTTTGCCTTGGGCTGATTCTTAAACCCTGTGTGATTGTGGCCGAGAAAATCCTGGTGGGCCCAAAGCTTCGAAACTGGCGATTTGGGGCCGTCACAGGGATGTAGGGTCGACCGGCTGCTACCCATCCGTGTCTGACACGCTCTGTTTTCCTTCCGCTCCCTCGCCCCCACCCTTCCAGGCGTCGACCATGCTGAGAGCCTCCCTGGCACCCACGTAAGTAACTGCTCTCGGAACTTGCTTTTGTGGAGGGCGGCGGTGGGCAGAACCGGAACTCAAAGTCAAAGTCACGGTCACAGATGTCCACCCGAGCAGCCGCGCCTGGAGGGCTGCCTCTGGTTGGCTGAGCTCCCGGTGGACAGCGAAGGAGGCACCAAGAACCCTAAGTGACAGTGTGGAACCAGAATCATCTCTGAATGTTAGTTAGTTCTATTTATTTTGGTGAGGCGGCCTCAGATGGAAAAAAACCGCTGGACAGATAGTCCCTGAATCACTTTACTGGCATAGGGCCGCCAGAGTGTTGCGGAGCCTGACTTGCACGCTCTCGGCCGAGGGGCCGCAGCACAGCTTCGGGTTTGCCCGAGCGCCGCTACCCCGGTCCCTTAGGCTGTCACCGTGCGCAGGAACTTCCTCAGGCGTGTGTGTGTTGCACGGGCGAGGACGCTGAGGACCTCGGCGTGGCCCCGCGAGGCGCTCGGAGCCCGTCCTGGGGGAGGGTGCGGGGGGGGGGGGTGACTCCGACGCCCGAGGTGCAGACACAGCATTCCTCCCGCCCCCGTCCCGCCTGCGCCGGAGAACCCTGCACGCGGTCCTCCGCGGGTGGCGGCTGTATAATGTAGTCCTGGGAGCACGCTGCCTGGTAAAAGTGCCACCTGTGCCACCTGCTGTGTGACCGTGAACTCCTACAACAACTCCATGCCTCAGCTTCCTCCCGCACCAGTAAAATGAGGACAAGCACGGTGACTGCGTCACAGGGCTGTGGTGAGGATAAGGACGAGTCACTAAGTACAAAGCACGCAGCGCGGTGTCGGGGACGTGAGGAGCGCCCCGAGTGTTGGCTGTGTTCCTCCCGGGGCCTAGGAGGCAGGGCTGCTCGCAGAGGGTAAAGGTGGGTGGTTGGAGGAGGGGGCGGAGGGGGCTGGACCACGGAAATAGGGGATCGGTGAGCAACTTAGCTGCCCATCAATGTAATTGGTGATATTGCCGTTCTTAGGGCCCAACTGTGACGGCGCTCATTCCCCCCAACAGGAGCGCCCCGGCTGCGTGTCCAGGCATTGTCAGACTCGGCCCCACACACGGGGCCTGTTTGTCTAGAGCAAAGGCCGTTTACGTTTGAAATTAAAAATTTTTTAAATGTTCATTTATTTATCTTTAGAGAAGGGGGGAGGGAGAAAGAGAGAGAGAGAGAAACATTGACATGTGGAGATAAATCAAGTGGCTGCCTCTCACATACCCCCCACCAGGGACCTGGCCCGCAACCCGGGCACGGGCCCTGAGCGGGGATCGAACTCGCCCTTTGCCCTCTTCTTTCTCTGTGGGCCTGTGTTGCTGAGCAGGAAACCGAAGGATGTCCCGTTACTGCCCTCCTTGGACTACGAGAAGCTGAAGAAGGATTTGATCTGGGGGAGCGACCGCCTGAAGGCTTTCCTGCTGCAGGCCCTGCGCTGGGTACGTGCCCTTCCCCAGCGCTGGCGTGCGCGGCCCCGCCCCGCGCGCACCCTCTGGCCAGCCGCCAGGGCCCTCCGTCCTGCTGCCACCGAGAGCCCAAGTGAAAGCCACTCTGCCTCCTTGTCCCCCACACCACGTGTTTGAAAGCACATCATCATTTCTTACTAGCCGACTGGTTGGCTGCGCCCTCGCTCCCCGGGGTATAGCCTTCGTTCCGTGTGGGTGGATGTGCCGTTTAAAACACGCCTGCTCCGTGAACGTGTCCTCCACAGCCAGACCTCACTGCTCTCGCTTTTCTCCCTCCCCACCCCCGCAGCGCTTGACCACGTCCCATCCGGGAGAGCAGAGGGACACCGTGCTGCAGGCCTACATCAGCAGCGACCTCCTGGACTGCCACAGCCACAGCCAGGTGGGGGAGCGGCAGCAGGGCCATTGCGCGGGAGTGGTCCCGGTGGGGGGCGGGCGGCTTCCACTTCCCTGCACAGGTCCATCTGGTGACCCTGCATTGGCCTTGAGCTTCCCTTAGCACCGTGGACCTGCTCTCCAGCCTGGGTGTGGCCCGCCTGTCACTTCTGGTCACGAGTCCCAAACACGTTGGAACTGCCCGATTCCACGCTGGGGCTCTGGCCTGCCCCTGTTCCCTTTTCTCAAATCCCCGAATCTCTCCTTCACCCCCGTTTCCCGTGAGTCCTGAAAACTCGCGAGGACTCAGGACAGGCCATGTAGGTAGTAAGCAAATTCAGTGTTTTTGTCACCTGGGCCTGGCCTTAAAATGTGTCTCTAACAACACGTCTGCCTGTGACTCTGGACCAGATGGGGGGGAAGGTACAGGATTTCCCTGAGATGGACTGATTTCAGACCTCGGCCCCCGCCTGTTAGCCTGTTACAGGGCCTTAGCTGGTCCCTCCCTGGAGCGCCCCCACCTCTGGGGAGGAGCGTTGGGAGGTTGCTGGGGTGGCCGCGTGGGGGCAGGTGCGGGAAGCACTGAACCCCGAGCCCAGCACCGAGTCGTCAGTCCCCGGTCCCCACCGCCCCACCGTCTCACCCATCACCAGCACCGGCCTCGCTGGCCAGGAGGCGGATGGAGGGCTGCAGCGTGGCTTCTGTGTCAGGAAGACCCTGCGCCTCGTGGTCGCAGTTCAATAGCTGTTCCAAGTGCTCTAGGTACTTCTCCTCCCGCCGGGAAGCTTCGCTGTGCGGCCCAGAGTGGAGTGCCAGCACCGTTTCGGATCGCTGGGCTGCGCACTTACGGTCTGTGTGGTTTTCTGTATGGGCGTTAGTTACCCTTCAGTAAGACCTTCACCTGAATAAGGACGGTGCAATGGCGTCAGCACCTTGGGGTGGACAGCCTTCCCTGTGTCGCCCTCTTGAGTCAGCCCTGCTCAGTCTGGACCGGTGGGCGGCTGCCTCCCGAACCCTCTCTTCACCCAGTGCCTGCTGATCACCCCCGCCCCTGATCTGTTTCCGGGGTCCCCTACCGTTTTCCTTCTTGACTTACCCTCTCGGCTGGCGGAGCACACCCTTGGGTGAATAGCTCCTAGGGAAAGGATGGGTGGGCAGTGTGGTTTTTGAGACTGTGTATGTCAGGAAATCCCTTCTTTATCCTTTGTGCAGAATTCTGGGTTGGAAAGGACTTTCCTTCAGATTTTTGAAGATAGCACCCCATTGTGTTTTGGGGTTCCATGTTGCGGTTGAAAAATCCAAAGCCGTTCTAATCCCTAGTCCTCCGTGTGCCACCTGCTTCTCCCTCTAGCTGCGCGTTGTCGCCCAATCAAGGGCCCCGTCGCTGTGGTCCACGAGGTGTGTTTGGATTCACTGCCGGGCACTTTGCGCGCCCTTTCGCCCTTTGCCCTTTGCCCTTCCTGGGGCCTTTCCGGAGCCGCGCTCGCTGCCGGTGAGGCCCGCGGTCTGCTCTGCTCCCCTCTCCGCCCGCGGCTGGGCCTCTTGAACTGGTTCTCTCGTTGCCTTATCTTTCCTCTCATATTTTCCGTATTTTTCTTTCCACTGCACTTTCCGGGAGATTTCCTCATCTTTATTTGACGACCATTCTGTTGCATTTTTTCATTTCCTTTTTTATAGTGTTGTGTTGTTTCATGGATACAGTTAGCTTCTCCTATCTCTAAAGATACTAGTGACAGCGTTTTGTTTATTTTTAGTTTCCTATCCCCGCAGTCTTGTTTCCTCCAAGTTCGCCCCCTCCCCCTCAACACCCCCACCCGCCTTGCCGTCCTGTTGGCTGCGGCCTGTTCTCCACGTTGGGAACTTGCCCTGGGTTTCTGGTGGGCCGCGGCCGTCTGTTTGTAGGGGGGGACCGAGGAGCGGAGAGGAAGTTCCGAGTGTGCAGGCGGGGCCTGCAGACAGGCCTCCGCCGAGGGTGCGGGCGGGGGCATCTGTCAGGAGCTGCTGAGTTGAGGGTCTGTATGCAGCTCTCGCCCTCGGGCTGGTGTTTTCCTCCAAGGAGAGGCTTCTCCCCTCCCGCCGGAAGGCCGAGCCCCTGGGCGCCTGTAGGGGAAGAGACTGGGGTCGCCCCCCCCATTCTGGTGCAGAAGCCCTGCCCACCTGTGCCTGGTGCCCCCCATCCTGGGACCCTTGTGTTGCCCCAACAAGAGGACGCCCCGGACCTCTGGTGAGAGGAGGACGATCGTGCAGGAGCAGCCTCTCTGCCGGCTAACATTCACTCACTCTCATTCCTTGTTTCTCCCACGCCCTGAGCTTTCGAGGCCGAGCGTTCGTTCGGACGCGGTCACCTCCGCCTTGCCTGCGCGGTGCTCTGGAGTCTGCCCAGCCCGCCGCCTCTGCACTCCCACTGTCCCGACCGGGTCGTTACAGTTTCTCTCAGATCTGGGGAGTCCGCGTCATCCTCGAAAACCCACTTCCCGTGGTGTTTCTGTGGCTTCAGGGCGCCAGCTTCCTTGGCTCTGGCGGACTGGCCTGGGAAATCGTCAACAGCAAAGCAGGCGGCATCGCCACCCTTGTGTCCGTCGGTGCTCTAGTGCTTTGTATGATTGCTTCTTTTTTAAAATAACTGAAAGTTTTTTCAGTTATGCTTGACGTACGACCTCAGAGTAGTTCCAGGTGTACGACGCAGCGATCAGACGTGTATATGACTTCAGACATGATCGCCCCGATAGGCCTAGTATCCATCATCCAATTCCTTTCATTTAAAAGTCTGAGTGACTGATGCTCATCAAATCCCAGGAGAAGAATCCCTTGGCAACCAGGATTTCCAGACGAACCGTTTGGTCTCGGCCTGTTGGTCTCACCCGTGGTAAAGTCGCACAGGGGGAGAGCGCAGGAGCCACATCCCCCCGCGGGTTTTGGTGACGCCCGGGCCCGCTTGTGTCCCCGCAGAGGACCGTGCTGCAGCTGCTGCAGGGCCGGAGCGACGTGGTGCGCCAGTACACGGCCCGGCTGGTCAACGCCATCGCGTCCCTGGCGGAAGGTGAGCGGCGCAGAGAAGGGCGGGGTCTCACCCGGGCCCGCCTTCTTCCCTGGGAAACCGGTGCCCCTCCCCAGGCGTCTCAGCGATGACCTGTGTTTCCTCAGTCTGTTCCTGTGTCATGCGTGTACGGGGTGTGTGTGTGTGTGTGTGTGTGTGTAAAGCGGGTGTTGTCATACTGCTGTGGTTGACGTCAGAGCAAATTTTGGCTGTTTGGAGTTTCTTCTGCAAGCCTGCTTGGTTTCATTTTCTCAGCTTTCTGGTTCGTAACATAGTCCTTTTGGGATTGCTTTCGGATATACATACATCTTTTTCCCCACATTTCCTGCCTCAGGTACATTCAGGGTGGTGACACAGTCAAAGCTGACCCCAGCAAGCACAGCACCCTTTCCTTTAAAAGCCTGTCACCTCTTAGGGTGCGAGGACATAACGGCCCCAGAGATGACAGGCCACCACAGCCAGTGGCTCCAGGGGTTTCACTGGGTGTCACTGTCTTCCGTCGTGCGGACTCATTTGCACTCTTTTTATTTTATTTTTTAAAAAGATTTTATTTATTTATTTTTAGAGAGGGAGGGGAGGGAGAAAGAGAGAGAGAGAGAAACATCCACGTGCAGTTGCTGGGGGCCGTGGCCTGCAACCCAGGCATGTGCCCTGGCTGGGAATTGAACCTGCGATGCTTTGGTTCGCAGCCTGTGCTCAATCCACTGAGCTACACCAGCCAGGGTCATTTGTGCTCTTTTTAAATGGGATGAAGGGAGTCTCAAATTGTGACTATATCGAAAATTTGTCCATTCATTTATCAGAATGTTCTTCCATCCATTTAGCAAGCAGTTACCATGAGCCATGGTACATGCCAGGGACCAGTCATAGAATACTGTGCAAATGTATGTGTCAATTTCGTGTCTGTATCAAAGCCACAAGCCCACAACAGGCCAGTGGCAATTCACGCCATAGTGTAGGGTTCCAGGTCTGGTCCCCACCTCTTCAGGCCACGGGCATGTCCAGAAGGAACAGAGGCTGTGGCCAGAGAGCACTGGTGGCTGCCCGTCTCATAAAGACTAATGGGCAGTTCCCCTCCCACTTCCTCCTCATAGACTTGACTTGGGGTTCAGGACTCAGGTAAGTAAAGGGCAGTGCTGCCCACAAGAACACTGTGATGAATCGGAACAGTGCTTTTCTATTGTTAGGTGGTTACTAAAACCAACTCTGCAGGAGAAAGATGTTTTAGTAAGTTTTTTTTAGAACCTAGAATTATACAAACTATACACGAGCTACATGTAAAGCTCTCATAGGAAATGGGTTTGGGGAAATGGTTTTTGTAGGAAATGGTTCGTAGGAAAAAGTGCAGCTCTAGGGGCGGGGAAGGCATGTGGTTGGAGGGTGGGGGCGCTGAGCAAGAAGAGAGGACTCATGGCCATGGTCGACAGTGTGGGGCGTGCGGGCGAGGGAGGGACAAAGGGGGTAAACGGTAATGGAAAAATACAACTGAAAAAAAAAAAAAAGGAAGGTGGTTTTGGAGCATGACCTTAACACCAGATCACCTCTCTCCCTCTGTCACCTGCCTGTCTCCGGCCGCGTGACCAGGCCGCCTCTACCTGGCCCAGAACACCAGGGTGCTGCGGATGCTGGAGGAGAGGCTGAAGGAGGAGGACCAGGACGTCATCACGCGGGAGAACGTTCTCGGCGCCCTGCAGAAGTTCAGCCTCAGGTGCTGACGCGCAGTAGGTCACGGTGGCTTCTGGGAAATCAAACTGGGGTTTTTATCAGCCACAGTCGTGTGTTTCTTTCCTCCCAGCGAGGGGCAGGTGATGCTTCTCAGCTAACACCGAGGGCAGGTTGGCGCCTTTCTAAGACAGAGCTAGAGGGCTCATCTCCAGCCCCCTGAACCATCCCCCTCCGGCAGCTGCAGAGGGAGAAGGATGTTTTAATGGTGCCCGCGTCCAGTGCCGTGGCCCCATGAGCACGACTGTGTCTCAGCCACTCTTGAGGTCGAGAGCTGCACCCATGAGCGAGGCTGGCAGAGGCACAGCTGGGCCCCGGTGCGCAGTCCCCACGGGTGTGGGGGCGGAGCTGCGGAAGCCCGAGTGGCGCCTCCAGGACCCCGAGCACGTGTCCCAGCAACGCACCCTCCGGTCCAGCCGGAGCCTGCTGTGACCTGGAACTGCTCCCCATCAGAAGGGTAGAACCAGACGCCCCTTCTCTCGCCAGGTCTGGGGTCTGCACAGAGCGTTCTTTTTTAATCGGCAGCTTCACTGAGGTGTGTTTCACATACCACCGGATTCACCCATCCCGAGTGTACAAGGCAGCGAGTTCTAGTATACTCGTAGTTGCACAGCCATCGCCGCAATCCGACTTTAGAACCTCCCTGTCCCCACAAAGGGAAACTTCACGCCTGTTCACGGTCAGCCCGAGTTCCGACCCCCAGCCCCAGGTGACCACCGATCTACTTTCTGTAGGCTCGCCCGCGTTGGATATTTGATACAAGTGGGATCAGATAACGTGTGTCCTTTTGTGGCTGGCTTCTTTCACTCGGCGCGGTGATTCTGAGGGTCATCCCCGGTGTGTAGCGTGTCGGCACCCTGTTCCTTGGTACAGCCCAATAGCGTCCCCTGTTCCGTTAGGAGGAGACCGCCTCCTGCTTAGCCTGTCGTCAGCCGGTGGACGTCTGCCTGGGTGGCTTCCACCTTCTGGCCCCGATGCGTAACGCCGCCGTGAGCGTCTGCATGCGGGTCTGTGCGTGGCCGTGGTGTCCTTCCTCCCGGGCAGGCGTCTGGGCGTGGCGTGCGCTGATGCTTCCAGCGTCCACGGTCCCGCGTGACCGCCTGGCTCTCTCTTTGGCTTCGTTGAAACTTCCAGTGCCTCGAGTCCTCAGCCCTTCCCGTCGGCCCTCTTCCCATCACCTGTTCTTCCCATCGAACGGGGGTGCGACCCACCGGCCTGCCGGGTCACGTGGTCCGAGGGTGGGCGTGTCTGGTGGGGAAAGCGGCGGGTGTTGCGTCCCTGCGACTTGCCAGGTTCTTGCCAGTGAAAGTGTCTGTAACTCTCCAAACTGAAGAGAGCTCTGAATAATCCCCCATGATTACTTCCTCCGCTCATACAGACATTTCCGTTTGCTCGTAAAGATAACAGCTTGATGCCGGCTGTTTGGGAAAATGTTAGAAATCCAATAGCTGTAGGTTGAGTAATAGAGCCAAGATAAGGTGAAGAAATGCTTCTGCCCAGTAATGCGGGTATGTACTGCCAGTTTTTTATTTTCCTCCAAGCAATTGTTTAAGCTTTCTGTTCTGGAAACGTGCTTCATGTTTTGGCAGTTTTCCAGGGTCCCCACAGAGAGTGCAGGTCAGGTTAGGCTTACCGGGAGAACGCTGTCTTTGCCGTTCTCCGATAAAGGCCACTGAGCGCCCCCGCACGACGGTGGTGCCATGACCCGTCCACCAGGAGGCGTGTAGGGGAGACCCGCGGAGGTGCTCCCCCCCGCGGTGTTTTCATTTTCACAGGATTCCGGAGCCTTCTCCGGGTGATACCGGGCTTAGTCTCACCAGCTCTGAAGGCTGGCGTGGTGGCAGGCACTGCACGTGCCGGTGCGGCATTGGGCTTCGTGTGACGGGACACCTGGACCGGGGGTGGAAGACAGTTCTGTGTCAGCTGTGTCACCCTGGTGGTTAAATTCTCCTTACTCTGTGGACATCTGAATCAAAGTGGTATCCAGCTGGGTTTTTGCTTTTCCTTTATGTTTTTCTTTCTTTACACGCAGCTCAAAGTGTCGACACTCGATTATAATCCACTAGAGTTTAGTAAAAACCTACTGTCAGTGAACTATTTCTGTGGCTCTGTTTTCCTGGATTAGACCACAAGCTATCAATAAGTACTTTAAATATTCAAAGTAGGAGGCTGCTTACTGCCTTATCTCTCCTTAAACTCTTAATGATATCCTGTGATTAGCCAGACTCCTGCCAATGAAAATTTCGTCTTCTAACTATGAATTGCAAAGAACTGTGAATAACCCTCCGGGGTTATTACTTCCTCGGGTCTTATGAACACTTCATTTCTGACGGTTATAAAGATAATGGCTTGGTGCTGACGGCTTGGGAAAACCGCAGAAACTCTGTAGCTGTAGCTGAGTGACGGAGCTGAGACGAGAGGTGAAGAATGCACTCGGTCTCCTCTGCCTCGGTTTCCCCGCCGGCCCTCACTCACCCGGGGCTCTCTCCTCCCAGGCGCCCGCTGCAGACAGCCATGATTCGGGATGGCCTCATCTTCTGGCTGATCGACACCCTGAAGGACCCCGACGGCCTGTCCGACTACACGCTGGAGTACTCGGTGGCTCTGCTCATGAACCTCTGCCTGCGGAGCGCAGGTCCCACGGCCCCCCGTCCCCTCGCGCACCCCCCTGGCTCCAGGGTGGGGGAGGGCAGGGGTCCTGACCCTCCGATTGGGGCGCCCCACGTGGCTCCCCGCGTCTCCACCTCTGCGACAGAAAACTGCTAACACGCAGAGCGGAAACAGGAAGAGCGCTTCCCAGCGGGGTGTCAGGCTGTGAATTCCTGACGCCCAGGGAAGAATGGCCTGAGAAAGGCCATTGCAAAGGATGTTTTATAGATCCATATAAATACACGTGTCTAATCACACATATATGTGTAGCACCCTCATTAGGGAGAAATTAAGTTAGTTTACGTTCTTCGTCTTCACTGCACTTTTGAAAGGTAGGAAGTGAAGAATCAGGATCCCTTTTGGTCTAAAGGCAGAGAAGTATGTTCCCGGGACTGTACGGGGTGAAGCTGGTGGCTGAGCAGGGGGGTCAAACCATCCCGCCCGCCCCGAATCACCCACCTGCCCCTGGCAAGGGGGTGCCCACAGGGGTGTCACGTCGTTTACATTCTTGATCAACGCGGGCAGTGATTTCAGCATGTCCGCGGGTTCCGTCCCACTTAAGTAAGGGTCTGCTCCCTGGGAGGAGCAAAGCTTCCTTAGAGGAGGTGCCCAGTGCAGCCTGCGGCCGGCTGCCCAGACGAGAAGCTCAGGGCTGTTTGTTAGCTGCCCCTCACCCTCGGATGCTCTGTCACCTGGAGCACCTGTTGTTGACCGAGTAAGTGACTGTGTCAACCTTCTTTTTTAAAACCAGCCTGAGCACAGTTCTAGCTTTAAAGTACCCGTTAGGCTATAATCGGCTTCTCTCATGGTCATCACCGCACTCGCAGTGACTGTCTGGGTGCTGTCGGGTCGCTCCAGCTGCTGGGGGTTCTGGGCACGATGGCCGTGCCCCGGGGAGGAACAGCGCGGCTCTGTGACTGGTGGTGCTCTCACCGGGGAGTAGCCCTGTGCTCGGCCTGAGTAAAGACAGGTCCGCCCCACCGCACCCCACCCCCGCTCCTGCTCACAGGAGGGTGCCGGCCTCGGCAGAGCTGCTGCATCCAAGCACCCTTTCTGGGAGATGTGAATGATCCCCACAGCGTCCCAGGGGAGGGAACTGGGGCCCAGGTTGGTTAAGTGACGCCCCCAAGGCCACACGGCTCATAAGCACAGGCGCCAAGATTTATATTCCGGTCCGCCTGACTTGAAGCTGTGCTTCTGAGTGTGGACACGTCATGTTTTGTTTTGTTTTGTTTTGTTTTCTTAGGGAAGAACATGTGTGCCAAGGTGGCAGGCCTTGTGCTGAGAGTTCTCTCGGATCTGCTGGGCCACGAGAACCACGAGGTACTCAGTGCTGCTCACCCCGGGCTTGGAGAGGGCTGGACCACGGTAGTTAGTGCCCCTCCCCCTCCCTCATGCCTTTGCATCCACTACTTCCAGCTTCCGCATTCTAGAGCTTAGAGGCTGGGGGCCTGTCCTCACTCCTGACCTAGCGCACACTGCCGGCACCGGCCCGTGCGACACGTTTTTCTCCCTGTCGTCGTCTGTCCGCGCTTCATTGCTCCCCACCGTGGACACTCCTCTGCTGGGTTTAATGTGTGTCTGTGGGCACGTGGGCAGTCTGCAGATGGGTTTACTGTTGTGTGTGTATTTGATGTGTATAAACAGTATTGCACTCCAGAGCCCTATTTTCTTAGGTTTTTTCACTGCGTGTTTTTTTTTTTAAGATTTTACTTATTTACTTTTAGGGAGAGGGGAAGGGAGGGAGAAAGAGAAGGAGAGAAACATCAGTGTGTGGTTGTCTCTCGCACGCCCCCTGCTGGGGCCCAACCCGCAGTCCAGGAATGTGCCCTGACTGGGAATTGAACTAGCAACTTTCAGTTTACAGGACAACGCCCAACCCACTGAGCCACATGGGCCGGGGCTTCACTGCGTTTTCAGGATCTTTCTGTGTTTCTGTGTATGCATCTCTGTGGTGAGCAGCTCTCACCCCTGCAGAACAGCTCCTGTTTGCAGCTGTCCACTCGCCAGGGGCATGTACCTTGGTTGCCCCCAACTCTCTGCTGCCACATGGGTCCTCCGTGGACAGCCCTGCACTTGCCCCCAGAGACCCTGTGCCTGGGTGCTCAGACACTCGTCACTGCTGGCTGACCCCACCTGTCAGTCGGCCGGAGTCCTGGAAAGCGTCCCCCAGGACGGCTTCCGCTGTCACCTGTGTCTGCCCCAACCCTGGTGTGTTTTTTTAAAGTTCTTTAGCTTTAGGGTCACAAGTTCTTTCTAAATAAAGTAAAGGTAAGCCCTGGCTGGCGTAGCTCAGTGGATTGAGCGCAGGCTGCAAACCAAAGCATCGCAGGTTCGATTCCCAGCCAGGGCACATGCCTGGGTTGCAGGCCACGGCCCCCAGCAACTGCGCATTGATGTTTCTCTGTCCCTCTCTTTCTCCCTCCCTTCCCTCTCTAAAAATAAATAAATAAAATCTTTAAAAAAATAAAGTAGAGGTATGGCTAAACTAATAAACAATGATACATCGCCCACCCGCTTTCTACAAATGCCTTTGCAAAAATCGTGGCACCGGCACGATTTCACCTGAAGCCCAAGCCTCAACAAACACGTGACCTGTGGCGCCAGGTCAGGGCCGTGGCGGGACGGGACTGAGTGCCGCTGGGTCACCGGGAGGCTCGCGGTCCCCACGCATCTGCCCCGTTTCAGGCAGACAGCTTCCTCCTGTCCGCTCCTTTCCCGGCATGCGTTCCCGGGGCCCCGGCAGCTGAGAGGCCTGGACATCCTCCGTCCCAGTGTGTGCCACGCCCTGGCCTTGCAGACCAGTGAACTCCTGGGCCTGAGGGGACTCTGCTCCCCCTTCTCTTCAGCTCGGGCAGTTAGACCTGCCGGAGGCCTGTGCTGCCTCTGACAGTAACAGTCGGTCTCAAGGGCTGCAGCCAGAACGTCGGCCCCGGAAACCGAGTGGACCAGAGGATCCCGACCACGTTGTGAACGGCTGGCCATGCCTTTGCTTTGAACATGAGCTGTTAAATGTGCCTGCGTGTTCTTTAGAGCCTAGAGATGTTTTGCTACCCAAACACATGCTACACACACGTGTCCGAGACAAGCCAGTTGCGTTCTTGAAGGACAAGACCCAGAAGAAAACCCATAAGGAAAAGAGGCATACAACTGACCGTATGCACATTAAATTTTTTTCATGTGGAAAAAGATGCCACAATCAAATTCAAAAGACAGATGATGCACTAAGAAAAAGTGTGCATCACATACGACAAAAATTTTACACCCCTAATATCTGAAGTACTCCTGTAAATTGATGGGCAAAAGTCAAACCAAAAAAAAAAAAAAAGCCAACAGAAACACAGGGTGAAGGCTATAGCCTGGCAGGTTACGGAGCAGTAAGTCTGCGTGACCTGTGAACATGGAAAGGTGTTTCATTCTGCTAGTCGTCAGGGGAAGGAAGCTAAAAACACCTGTAAGTTGTCCTTAAAAACAACGGTGGCGGGGCCTTTTCTGCCCGCCGGACCAGTAAGACTTAGGGGTGGTGAGTGCCGTGCGTGCTGGGAAGTGGTGCGGGGAGACGCCCCCCCACCCCCCCACCCCCCGCCCCCGTGCTGCGGGGAGAGTGCACCGCGCCGAGGGGAGTCAGAGGAGAGGAGCCAGTGATGACGCCAGAGTCTCTGGCCTGAGTGATGGGCGGCAGGAGTTCACTTGGCGAGGGAGTGAGGACTCGGGCTCTGGACCCTTTGCTGCGGCCGTCACTGGGGCGTGCAAGCGGAGATGACTGTCGTCTGGAGACAGCCGCTGTCCTCCTCGGCTGGGATGTCGCGCAAATGGGCTGTTTGATAGTCGAGTCGTCCGGCATCTGAGAACTTGCAGGTGACTGTTCTTCTTCTCCCCTGGCAGATACAGCCGTACGTGAACGGCGCCCTGTACAGCATCCTCTCCATCCCATCCATCCGCGAGGAAGCGCGAGCCATGGTAAGACCACGGGTCCGCTGCCGCCCGGGCCGCCGCTCAGGAGTGGGACAGCGAGGGCTTCCCAGACGGGGCCCCAGGGCGGGGCTCTCAGACGGCTTACGAGCCCCCCCGAAACTGTGCACCAGGTCCATGTTTGCGGTTTCTGATGAGACTCTGTGGCTTTTATCTGATTCTCAAGGGACCCCAGCTCCTTGGGTGATCGAGAACTGCAGTGCTAGAAAGTTTCCAGCAGGTTATTTTTGGAAAGCCGTAGACTCCTTTGTTTTTTCATTTAAACACGACTCATTCAGATTTGCAGTTTGGGGAATGCTTGTGGGTCTCATAGCAGCAGGGGCCTAGCAGGAAAACGGCGAAGTGGAGAAAACCGACCCTCGGGCTCGCGTCCAGGATTCCTGGAGGAATTGCGGCCGCGTGGGGGTCGGTGCAGTGCAAACGCTCTTCCCCCGCACGCGCCCCGGCGGCAGCCGGGTGGAACGCAGGGCTGGCGACCCCGGGCACCCGTGCGCACCCGGATCGTCTGCCGGGTGGCGAAGGCGTGTCGGAGGTGTCTGCACCAGCGCCTGTGTCGGAAGCGCGGCACGGGCCACGGGGTGACGGGTGTCGTGCTCGGAGGCGACAGGTGTGCCCAGATCTTATCCCCAAACCGCGGGGGTTGTGGCCGCGGGTCCCTGCCGCGTGTGAAGCCAGCGTCACGGTGCGCGTGTCAGATGCTGTGGGGAAAGGATCGAGCGTGTTTCCAGAGGCCACGAGCGGTTTGAGACCGGCGCGACGGCCTCACGCGTTGTTGTCCTTTCCTAGAAGAATGGATTGTTCAGCCTTCTGTTTGGTCGTCTGCGTCCCGTCGTCCGTCCCACCGGGGACAAAAACTTAAGAGCCGTTCTGTGTGGTCCGTCAACAATGAGAATTGCCTGCTGCTTTTAAGTAAAAAGTCTGCGTCCTCAGTACAGAGCAGGGAAAACGCACTGGACTGTGGTGTTTGTGCACGTTCAGGTGGAGGAGTGGAATTGCGGGCCGAGCAGAACACAAGGGGCAGAACGTGTGGGCCGCAGAGAACGAAGGAATGGAGGCCACGCGGACTCGAAGGCGTGCAGGGCAGCGAGGGGGAAAGGCCTGCGGGCAGAGGGCGGAGAAGGCGGGAGGGGCCGGGCCAGGTGGGGAGGAGAGGCTTGCAGGTGCAGGACCTCAGAGGGTGGCCGTCAGCGGTCACCCCGGGCGGGGAGGGGAAGGGCAGAGGAAAGGGAGGGTGCGTCGGAGACCGACCGGTGTGGCCGTGCCCAGAGGCCTCACTCGGCTGCAGTGGGAGCCCCAGCAGGAGAGGAGAGACGGATAATGGGGCCGGGAAAAGGTTGACCTAACGAGGTCCCTAGAAACCCCCAAACGTCTGGGAACTCAAGTGCCGACACTTGCAAGAGTTATCTGTTGCCGTGTAACAAGTCATCCCAAAGCTCCGTGGCTTAAACACTTTTTACTCACTGCTCTCAGTTTCTGTGGGACCCAGCGCAAGGGCGGACTAGTAGGGTGGTCGGTCCTGGCTAAGAGTCTCGCATTGGTTTTTAGTCACAACTTCAGCCAGGACGGCCAAGGCTTGGCCAGGGCTGGAGAATCCGTTTCACAGCGTTTCTCTCCACACGGCAGCGGGCTTCCCTGGGTGAGCGATGCCAGAGGGGCAGGAAGTGAGCGGGCAGAAGCCGGGGCATCCTTCGTGACCTGGTCTCAGAAGTGCTGTCCCACCGCGTCTGTTCTGGTGTTTACACGGACCAGCCCTGTACAGTGGCGGGGTGGGGGTGGTGGGCGGCCTCCAGACGGGGAATTCCAGGAGGCGGGGATCCTTGGGGCCGTCTTGGAGGTTGGCTGCCACCCATTTCCAAGTCACCTGAACCTAAGAAGTCATGAGGGGAATAAGGGCCTATTACTCGCTTGACATATACTAAAAATATGTGTAAATTTTCACTTGTCTTTTCATTAGGATGTTTTAGGTTATCTGGTAGCCTTAACTATAGTTGAATCTGTTAATATTTGCCTTTATAGTTTCTGACATAAGTTGCTAGACAGCCTTTAAGTTATTTTTTTAATGAGGATTTTTAGAGAGAGGGGAAGGGAGGGAGAAAGAGAGGGAGAGAAACATCCAAGTGTGGTTGCCTCTTGAGCGCCCCCTGCTGGGGACCTGGCCCACAACCCAGGCCTGTGTCCTGACTGGGAATTTTAACCTGTGATGCTTCGGTTCGATGCAGGCCAGCACTCAATCCACTGAGCCACACCAGCCAGGGCCAGCCTCTAAATTATTGAATTATTGACTTTAAGAAGAAAACTTGGACCACTTAGATAAAAGCATAAGCAGTGGCAGTCTCCCTTTGGCATTTTAATGGGCATTAAAGTCACGAGCTCTGGAGGGGCCCGTTAGAGGCTGAGCGAGGAAGCTCTGGACACCCCACCTAAGCAGTTGCCTGTTCAGCTCTTTGTAAGACAGGCCCGTAAGGGGGATGATGGCCAACATCTCACAACCCCGAACTTTCCCACTCTTGACTCTTACCCTCGAGGGAGTGTTTAGATTGATCAAGGAATTACGTTCTGTTTGCACAGAGCAACAGTAAAGATAACCAGACAGCGAGGAAAGGAAACACCACAGTCTCGCCGCCAGCACAGCGATGCGTGGTGGCGCTGGGCGCGTGGGGGCAGAGCGGCCGCCGGGTCTCCGGTCCGTGCACAGGCCGTCTGGGGGCAGGCGGGCAGCCCGCGGGAGAACCCACTAAAGCCTCCGCGTTGTCCATTCGGGCGTTTTCCTCGGGTCACTGGCTCAGCGAAGAAGGAGCGCTGCCGTGGAGACGCTCACGTCAGCGTTTTCACTGTATTTTCACGTGAAAAGCCAGGAGCAACCGGAGGGTCTGGTAACAGGAGCTGCTGGTGAAATTATGGCTCTTTTGCTCGAAACAGGAATAGCTGTTGAAGATGACAATTGGGAAAAGCAGTGTGGAAAAGTTTTACTGTGTGACGAGAGATAAAAGCTGACCATGGCGAATTAAGAACTCTGTTTTTGCAACTGTGTGAGACCTCCGTGTACTTGTGGAAAATACCAAAGAGTACATGAAAATTGTGTTAGTGCCGAATGCCATTAGGGCGGTCTCACCAGAGGGGGGAAAGGAGAGAAAGACAGATGAGTGCCCTGGAGCCCATTGGAACTTGAAGAGACCGCCGAGGGCTGGGGCCGGGGGGGGGGGGGGTGGTCCAGTCACTAGGGCTGCCTGCAGCCCACTCCGCAGCCTCCTGCGCCCAGGGCCGCTGTGCGCCCAGGGCTGGGGTAGTTGTCGGCCATGGAGCTCTGCCCTGGGAGGTGAACCCAGCCACACATCTGCCCTGGGCCGGGGCAGACCGATGCCCCGTCAGGCGGGAAAGCCCCCAGGGTCTCCGTTAGAAGCCACCCAGCCCACGGACTCCATAGGCTCCTCCGGGGGCACACCATGGCGGCTGGTGCCATGACCCCACGGCCCACGGCTCACACCAGTGAAGCCGGAAACTCTGCCTGTGCTGCCCCCAAAGGGCTGGGTGCCCCTGCTACCCACCGGTCACATCGCCCACTTCCAGATCAGCCTCACGCGCTACACTGGATTGACAGAACCTAGGGCATGCGCCTGGGGAATTTTTTATTAAGAAATCTTCCCCCAAATGATCTCCCTAGTTACAGAGAAGAGATCTGTGATTCCTCCCCACCCCCACTCCTAAGTAACAACTGAGCCGGTGCTATATAAAAGAGAGCAAATGAAAATACAAAGACCTTTCAGTATATGAGCAGGTGACCATTTGTGAAAGTAACCCCTGGGAGGAAAAAAATGGAGGGGAGCCTGAACGCAGTGTACGTCCCACCCCGCTGGTGGGGGCGGCAAAGACATTGACATTGACTGGTCAGTGGTGACCCTGACCGTTGGCCTTTTCGGGTTTATCACACTGTTTCACTACATACATTCTCCCTCTGGCCCTTACCTTGAGTGGACATGGGGACTAGGGAGATCAGTTTAGGAAGTCGAGACGGAGGCCAGCTGCTGCTTGTTTGAGAGGATTTAGGAAGGTGTACAGCGTGAGCCAAGACCAGTCATTCAAATGGAAAAGCCACTGTTGACAGCTTAGGTGGGCCCATAAGTTGGCTGGGACGGAGTCTCAGGGGGTCTCCAGTGCAGGGCAAACAGTGTCAGCCGGGCTGGTGGAGCCTCAGATACGACACCGCCTGCCAGCTCTGCGGCTCTGGGGGGCGGGGGGGGGCTCAGAAAAGGGACAATAGCCTCTGCCCACCTTTCTGTCTGGGAGAAAGCTGTCCCCCAATTCTTGCCTTGATGCCAGACACTTCAGTTCTTTCCTGTGTTTCACTGGTACCTTTCAAGCTGCTGCCCTGGTGCTGGAGCTCAGAGGGAGTGAGTCTGAGTGAGTCTGTGTGTGGGTTCTGTAAGAGGAACTCTGCTCAGGACTCCAGAAGTTTATTCCACTGACTCAATCCCCACTGGTTTTTGCAGCCACAAGTTATGGGGACTTACCTTCTTGGCACTGGAACCCTGGGTTGGGGGGGCCTGGTATGTGTCTGGGACTCCCCGAGATTTCCCCCCAAAATTTGTATCCACCGCACATGGATGTGGGACCAGCCCGTTCTGCATCTCCACCCCTCCTACCGCCTGGACGGATGTGGTTTCTTTAATTCTGCAGTTGTCAGACTTCATTCAACTCGCTCTCTGACAGTTCCGAGTGATGGTGGTTCTGTAGTTTAGCTGTAATTTTGATGTGGTTTTGGGAGGAGGCGAGCCGTGTTTACCTGTGCCGCCAACTTGACTAGAAGTCTGAGCAGAGGAATGTTTACTGTGCATATATCAGAAAGTGCCTTTGGGAGATTAGCTGAAACTATCCCATGGAAAAGTAGTCCGTCCCCCCCCCACCCCCCCCCACCCCCCGCCGCCAACAAACAGAAACGTTAACAGTGACCCCCTGCGTTGCTTTAGGGCATGGAAGACATCCTTCGCTGCTTCATCAAAGAAGGCAACGCGGAAATGATTCGCCAGATCGAGTTCATCATCAAGCAGCTCAATTCAGGTCCGTTTAATGCAGGAATCTGCGATTGGATTTTGAATCTCTCACGTACGCCAGAAAGACACGTGGGCTGTCTCAGAGGGCTGGCGATACCTTGGAGTTTATTCAAGAGCCCAGGTGCCCGTAGAAACAAACGTTCGGCCAGGTAATATGGGCCACGTTGTCCTCAGATCGGCAATCACTTACCACAGTGTGGGCTCACAGTCAGCAAAAGGAATTCAAAAGCAGTCACAGAAACCCTGCCGTACCTCTAAGTTCTCTGTTTGTCGGTCTGCCGCTCCTGATCCTTCCCCCCCACTCTGAAGAGTGGCTTCTGCAGCCCTAGGGTAGAGGATGGAGACAGATTCTGGTCTTCCTAGCACCAGCGTGGGAGATGTCTTCCTCCTTCCACGGTCATTCATCACTCCAGGAAAGTTTATGTCGCCACTGGTAGCATGGGAGGTGCGAGCTCCCTGTCCAGCTTCCTCCGTTACCTTGACGACCCACATCCCATAATAAGCAGAATAGGCAGGCCTGTGAGGGAAGGCTCAGAGGGGACCAGGGTGGTGGGGGAAACGCGGCTCTTTCTGTGGAGTCCTGACACCTCCATCCTGACTCCCACACCTGCCCAGAGGTGCCTGGCGCCGCCAGAGCCCAGGGGCCAGACGTGCCACTTACGTCTCTCTGCGTGTCCTTCCTCAACACGCAACTGTGCACACCACCGAGAGTCCAAGTGCGCAAATCCTGTTCAGCGCACGGACGAGGTAAAAAGGAAACGAACCTCTTGACCTCTGCTCTGATCCCGAGTCAGCAGCTTGACCACGGCTGACCGAGCGAAAAGGCGATGCCAGACGCCCTTTCCCGGAAGAAGCCTGCAGGTGGCTCTTCCGGCTCACGGTTCACAGCCTGTCTGCACAGGTGGTCCCCCACCCCAGTTAACTCAGAACCTCTGGGGGGACCCCAGGTGTGAAGGGCGTTCAAAGCTTCCAGACGATTCCAGCGTGCAGCCAGGGCTGCAAACCCCTGCCTGGGACCGATGCAGAAATCGGAGCAGCTCGGGGACCCAGCAGGGGCTCCCCACCAGCAGGGGGCAGCTGGGACGGAGCTGGGGTGGGGGGCAGGGTTGAGAGCTCCACTCCCTTCAGTCCCGGGGCTCATTTCCATCATCTGAACCTCCTTCTTCTAGTTTTTATGGAGCAAGTAGCATTCGCCCCTAATGCAGACAGGCATGGACTAGAGAGCTCTATTTTCTACAACTTCGATTCTGACTTCGTGCCCCCCCCGTTCTGCTGGGTGGGCGTATTTAAAAAACAAAGGGAAAGGAAACCTTACCCTCAGCCCTGGCTGAGCTTGCTCCCTAACCTTCCCCTGGGAGGCAGGCCCCAGTGGGGGAAGGTGGCGAGATGCCCGGGGAATCTGTTCCCTGTCTTCTCCGTGGTCGCCCGCTCTGCTGAGACCTCCCTCCCAAGCCACCAAGCCAGGGTCCTCTGCAGCCACAGGGTCACTCTTGGGCTGGGACTCTTCCCTGAAGGCAGGCTCTGATTTGATTATTGTTTATCTATCGAGACTCACTACCTCCACTTCCCAGTCAGTCTTCCCACCTCCCGGCTGCTGAAAAAAAAACCTCTCCCTCTCTTACGTAAAACCGGCCCTGGCCCTCCCTCGGACCAGCACGCTCAGGAATGTGAGGAGGGAGGGGTCGGTTTACATTTCTGTCGGGGATGTGCTCTGGCAACAAGCTATCTGGGCAGAGCTCAAGCCGTGTGCCCTTGTGTACTCAGGCAGGGCTGGGGAAACACCTGCTTAACTCGGTGAGCTCCAGTTGAAACAGAGACTGTCTGAAGTACTTCTTGTTTGTCTTGGGCACCTAGGTTATGCTCTACCCACAGGACAATGGCAGGACCCAGAGCCGATCACTCAGGAGTCCACCGCTTTGAAACAAAATTAGAAAGTCGTTGACCCCCTGGACGGAGGAGCAGACCCAGGCACACAGACACCTTTGCAAGGGTGGCGGCGGTGGCGGTGGCATGGCGTCAGAACGAACCTGCCGGCCCGGGTCGGAACCTGGAGCATTCCCGCCCAGCCCAGGCTGCACCCTCAGGGGCACTTGAGCCGTGGAGCAGGACCGGGTGGTAGTTTCCAGTTTAGGGTCCGTGAAATGGCCTTGCCCCCGCCTGCCTGTAGAGTCCTGACCCTCTAGTTTTGTTTTAGTGTGTTTGCCCAGTGAGCGTCAAGGTCTTCGAGCACAGAAATCCCAGTGTGTGTTAGGAACCCCACCCACAGGTGGGGGAGGCCTCCCTGGTGGAGCCGGAGGGACCGCCGCAGCCCCCAGCCAGGGGACCAGCAGACACCGGCCGGTCACTGGGGAGAGGGTGGGAGGGTCTGACAGGCCGGTCCCCGGGCGGGACCGAGGCTGAATGAGCCTCACCGCTGGGCCCTCGGGACAGAAGGAGACTGGCGACTCCGGTGCCACCCTTGCTGGTTCTTGAGGTGAGGGCGCCTCGTGGGGGCCACCAGTCCTGCCAGACCGGGAAGCAGGAGCCCAGGTTTGCGAGGGACTTCGGTTCACAGGCCTGGGTCGCTCCGGGGACGGGATGAGTCTGGGCCAGTAGGCTGGCCTCATACAATGTCTGAGAGTCTTTCAAAAATGAGTAAATAAAAGGTATTTTCATATATGAAAAAGAAAGGTTTATCGCTGAGGAATATCGCGGCATCTCTATTTTGAAAACTGTTCGCTTGCCAGCCCTTGGCTGAAGGCGGATGGAGTCGTGGACCCGAAGGGGGTAGCCCGTTAGGTGGTCAGGCTTCACGGCCACATCCTCCCGTGCCTACGGCCGCTTTCCCGACCACACGGTTCCGTGACCGTGGCGTGGCCCGTGGTGGGCGTGGAGGCACTCGAGCTTCGGCTGCTACTCGTGGGTTCTGACAGAAACGGAGAGGCCTGTTTAAAATCTCTTGGGGTGATTTCAGTGGCTGAAATGGTACCAGGAAGGTGATGGATCGCTTTGATGTGACCTAATTGTCGTCAGGGTGTCTGCGCGTCCCGCAGGGCCCCAAGGACTTCGTGGACCGGAGCTTCTAACTCGGCTTGCGGTCACTCATTGAGTTTTCTCTTTATAGAAGAGCTCCCGGATGGCATTCTGGAATCGGATGATGATGAAGACGAAGATGATGAAGTAAGTTGCAGGCCCTTGCCACCGTGTAGGAAACTTGTGAGTCTCTTCCTAGCCTGGAAAAGTCAGTGCAGAAACGGAGATTTTTCTGCCTGCTGCATTTCTCACGGCTCTGTCGGCCGGCTGGCGTTCAGAGGGGTGGCTCACGGCCGGCCCCGCCTGGGGTGTCATTCGGCTGCCTCTTTCCACGCCCACGCTGGCCTCCAGTCCTCCTCCTCCACCTCTCTCCACGTGGCCCCGACCCCCCGGCAGGCCAGCCTGGACTTCCTTGTCGGTTGGCCGCTGGCTCCGGCGGGGGGCGGAGAAGTGAAAGCTTCCAGGGGTCCCTGGGCCGGGCAGCCTCCGGACGTCGCTGCCGCCGCCGCGTTCTGCTCAGGCTGCATCCCGGGGTGGTGGGCGGGCAGTTCGACTCTGCTGGCGGGAGGGCTGGGGGAGGGCAGGGGAGGGGCCAGGGCTGAAGCCCGTCTGCCGCACAGTGAGGGGGTCTGCAGCCGGCCCGGGAGGCCACGCCCCGTGGCACGTGGTACGTGTGAGGCCTGGAAAGGTAACAGTTCTCCAGCAGGAGCGTTTTGCCTTGAAGGCGCCTGAGCCCCCACCTGTCTGTCTCCCCTGGACGGGACACCGGCCCGAGGCCCCCGGCGAGGATCCGTAGCCAGGCGGTGGGGACTCAGCTCAGAGCTGGCGGGACCTGCCGCTGGGCTCTGTTGCTTCGCAGTGCCCCTGGCACGGGTCTCCCCAGCCGTGCAGAACCTGCCCGCCTGGTTCTCCAGGGCGTCCGGGCTCGGGAGTGGTGTGGGCGCGTCTCGTGAGATGGCGTGGGGAAGGGAGCTCGTGGGCTGCCGGGCGGCGCTGAGACGAGAAAACCCTTCGGACCCAGAAGAGACACGTGGCGGCCTCGCCAGTGCTCTGCGGCGATGAGTGGTGCGCGTTCCTCCCGCCCTGTGGGCAGTGGGCGTCTTGTCGGTTGGAGTTGTGGCCCTGCCGCTCAAAAGGCGCGTAAAAGCCAAGTCTCTGCTCACCGGCGTCAGCAGTTCAGGCAGGCAGGCCAGGTCAGAGCCCTCCGCCGCCCCGCGGACGGCGGTGCTGAGACGGGCCTCCCACCTGCCACTTTCCTCCTGGGCTGTAGGTGGCGCCAGTGGGTGTTCTTGCTCCCTGGGCTTTGTGGGACCCGTGCCACTCTGGACCTCCGTGGGGGGCCCAGGCCGGCACCCCCTCCAGGCCCCTCCCTCCAGAAAGGTGGGTGGGAGAGCTGAGGAGACCGGGCCCCGGGTCACCAGAGAGTGGGTGGCAGTAAAACCTGAATTTCAGCAGGGGTCAGCAGACTTGCTCTGGACAGAGAGGAGAGTAGATGTTTCAGGCCCCGCAGGCCCCAGGGCCTGTGTGTCAGCCACTCAGATGCCACCTGAGTGATCAAAGGCAGCTACCGACGGGCCGTGTTCCCGTGAAACTCTATTTGTGGATCGTCAATTGAATTTCGTATGATTTGTACATGTCACCAAGTGTTTTTTCAAACATCTGAAAGTATAAAAGGTGTTCTTATCTTGCTGGTCTTCTAAAAGCAGGCCTCTTGGCCCTGTCACCGGACAGGGGCCAGGCCCGGAGCGGGCCTGCCTCGGCCCCACTGCGGCGTGGGGGTTCTGCCCTTGGCGTCGGAGGGAGAGTTCACAGCACGCGTCCAGGTGACTTCTGAGAGTGTGTGCTCGTTGAAGCTGGGACGGCAACACGAGGAAGGGCTCAGCACAGAAGAAACAGCAGCAGAGCCCAGGCTGGGCTGCCCGAGCTCACTGGGGAGTCGGAGACAAGGGGGCGGTGGGGACAGGTTCAGGGGAGCAGCCTGGGACAAGCTGCCCGCTGCCCACTGCCTGCTGCCTGAAAGGTTAGGAGACTGAGTGCCTGTGGGGAGAGAAGTGGGGGGGAGGAGAAGGGACCGGCAAGGGCTGCTCCCCAGGAGAGGAGCATGGGGCCTGGGTCCTTTGTCTGGAGGCTTTTGTTGCTGTTCCACTTACTTATGCATTCATTGATTGATTCTTTTTTTTTTTTAAACTTTATTGTTGTTCAATTAGAGTTGTCTGCATTTTCTCCCCACCCCCTCCAAACCCCCTCCCTCCCTTGCTTCCACCCTTCCCCTTGGTTTTGTCCACGTGTCCTTTACAGTAGTTCCTGAAAACCCTTCCTCCCACTGTCCCCTCCCCTTCCCCTCTTTCTGTTGTTAGATCGTACTTGATTTCAGTGTTTCATGTGGTGCTTGTCCCTCACCTCCTGGCTTATTTCACTTAGCATAATGCTCTCCAGATCCGTCCACGTCTTGAGGCCTTTATCTCCCTCTTGCAGGTGGGAAGCTTAGGGGAGGTCTCAGGGAGGGTTTCACAGGCTATTCCTCAGTTCTCCAGGTACGTCCCTTCAGGGCCGTGGTCTCTGCTGATTGGTCAGTGGCAGGGGCTCTTCAGTCACTGCGGTTGGTTCCGGCACCCACCTGGTTTTGCTGCCTTTCTGGGCCTGGAGCTAAAACCCAGCTGAGGCCTAGATGTTATCTCCGGAGGGGAAGAGATTGCCCTGCGGGGAGGTCCTTGTTTTCCCAGTTTCGCCCCCTGCTAGGCGCTGGGGCCTGGTGACCAGCTGCACCTGGCTGTCGGGTCGCTTGGCCGTTGTGCTCAGCCATCTGTCTCAGTGTCCTTGTTCCACTTGCCAAGGAATTTTCCCAGCGTCTGACTGACTGTCCTCTCAGCCCGAGAGCCATGCGTGGCCAGCCCGTGAAGCGAAGCCAGCGCTGACCCGGTCAGCCTCCCCGGGACTGGGGTGAGTCCCCAGCTCTGTGCCTGGCCCTTCAGCACCATTTTACATTGTATTTTGAGTCAATATTTACTTAATTTCAGTAGCTTTTGGTCATTGTGTCAAAAAGTTGGTCTTAAGATCTATTTTTCCCCTTCCTGTGTTACCGCTTTGGGGTTCGTGTTGTTGCTGTTAACACTTTTCTTTTTATATTGCAATGGGGAAATTCATTTGGTTCAGCTTTCTGGTTAATGATAGAAATTCAGCTTTTGGAAATTTCCCTATAGAAGCAATTATGCTGTATAAATGAAGGAATATGGAGATCTTTTCACTTTCTGGACGTTTTGCAACTCTACAGATTTTTGTTTCAAGAGGGTCGTGTTTGAAAGCACTTGTCGTGGTGGCTCAGAAGGCCCCTGGAAGGGGTTTACTTGGGAAACTCGAAGGAAAGGACCCGTCGTCTGGGGCCCTAACGGGACTCTCTGCGATGAGCCCCAGCCCGCAGATCCTGGGCTGTCCCCCCACCACCACCCTGACCCTTCGCCGCAGAGCACTGGCCGGGGCCACCGGTCTCCTGGACGCAGCTTCCACCAAGGGCAGGCGCTGCTTCTGGAATCAGAGAGAAGGAAAGAAAATGAAAGGTGCTCAGACGAAAGGAAAATTTCCGGAAGTCGTTTCAGCAGGTAGCCCTGTCGTTGGAAGGTGGCTGTCGCCTCCCAGGGCGGCGCCTTTGAAGGCGACGGCAGCTGCACAGTGGTTTTCGGAGCCTTAGAGTCACCCGTCGTCGTGCTCGGCAACATAAAATGTCGTTTTAAGTCAATATTTAGAACCAATACACAGATAGTGGAGCCATTGTTTTCGGTGGGCGCTTCGGGCCTCGCGGGAGGCAGCGGCCGTGCCGGGAGGGGCGTCCTGCCCGCCCTGCCTCACGGGAACCGGAGCCCGCATGCCCACAGCCCCGGCCACCCGTCCAGCTCCGCCGGACCCCCTCCAGAGCCCCGCCAGGTGCGAGAGCTGATGTTTTCCCTCTACTTTCTAGAAATGGAACGACGCGTTCTGAACGTTAACACCTCGTTATGACCGCGTATGCACACACGCATTCATGTGCCAGAATTTACAAATTTAAAGCTGGAGCCAGAAACGTCCTCCTCTGCCTTGCAGGTCGTCCAGGATATAACGTCAGGTGGAAAAAGGCAGGTGCAAAGTACTGTGCCCAGCACGATGCCACTTCAGGAAAGGTAAACACACAAACACACGTCCGTATGGATTATGAGATACGTGTGCGCTCGTAAAGCCGCGGAGCGGAAAGGCGTGGACGCCACTCCCTCGCTGTTGACCACTGTTGACACTGGAAGTGCGTCACATGGGGCGGCGGGGAGGGGGAGGTGCGGGTGCACGGTGAGGCGAGGCCGGCCCGCTGGGCGCGGGTGCGGTGGGCGGTGACAAGTGACCAGGGCACGAGGGGCCAGTGGACGGAGGCCAGGTGCTGGGCACTGTTGTCCAGGGGTGTCGAGACTTTTGGCGTCTCTGTGCCACACTGGAAGAAGAAGAGTTGTTGTAGTCCACACGTTAAATACATCTCGACACACAGTCACAAAGAAGTGTCATCGTGTTTGAAGTAAACTTACGGTTTTGTGGTGGGCCTCGATCCCAGCCCCCCTCCCCGGGCGGCGCACGGCTGCAGGCCGCAGGTCAGACGCCCCTGTCAGACAGATGGGGCAAAGGCCGAGCACGTGGGGAGGGAGAGAATGGAGCTGTAAGTGTGTGCACACACTTGGTCTTTGCACACGTCGGGTGGGCCACGAGCATGAGAGGACCTGGGTGGTAGCGAGACCGAGCATTTTGTTTTGTTTTAATTGGAGAGAGACCTAAGCATGCTAAAATGCTGGTGGGAAGGATCTGTGCCCTGGCCAGTGGCTCAGCTGGTCGAAGCGTCGTCCCTGCTCCGAAAGGTTGGGGGTTCAATCCCCGGCTGGGGGTTCATTCCCCGGTTAGGGCACATAGGTAGGTTGCGGGTTCGATCCCCAGTCGGGGCACATACAGGAGGCAACCCATCAATGTTCCTCTCATATCGACGTATCTGTCTCTCCCTCTCTCTCTAAAATCAATACACATTTCCTCGGGTGAAGATTGAAAAAAAATTCTAGCTCTAAAAAAGTGCCGGTGGGAAGGATCCAGCAGAGAGAGTGGGGTGGGGGGGGTGGCGGGGTGGGGGCTGACTGCCCCAGGCAGGA